TTTTTAACTTCACTGTGACTTTTTAACCCATCTTCCCAGAAAAATTATACTGCATAACCTAATAGTGCATTTAGGGGCTTGGCCACCACAAGGTAAAATGACGACAACACTCACCAAAGTAGCGGCAAAGACATTCAGGAGACTAACCCAGGACCCATGCAGCTGAGCTGTTGGACTCAACAAACCACTTAGCAAAGTGGCAAGCACGGAGTGTTTCTGGTGAGTCACTGCAGTTTTCATATTGGTACCTGTTACTTTCATCTATTCTCTGGGCAGATCCCTGCAAACCCAAAGAACCATCAGGTTCCTGATTCGCGTGCTGGACCTTGGGCTTACCGCTGAGCCACTATGGAGAGGATCGAGAAATGAAACTCCAGGAAGGAGAGAAGCTGCGGGCAGGCAGTCACCTCAGAGGTCCAAGAGGCCTCAGCGGCCCAAAGAAAGGTGTGTGGGGAGCAGCAGAGACTGGTCCTTGCATAGAGGTAGCCAGTGGACCCTCGGGGCTGTACCCCAGACACCGTGAACTGAATTTGCTAACATCGTCAGCCACCTTGGCCTCCACGTGTTTTGTGGGCCCATTGATGTTCTGCGAGGGATTCCATGTGTCTGGCAATGTGTGTCAACAGGTGTTGGCCTGAAATTTGGCTGGGCACAGTGGCTCACGCCTCTAATCCCAGCAGTTTGTAAGGCCTAGGCGGAAGGATCACTTGAGTTCAAGAGTTCAAGACCAGCCTGGCTAATATGGTGAAATCCCGTCTCTACAAAAAATACAAAAATTAGCTGCATGTGTTGGCATGCACCTGCTATTCCAGCTACTTGGAAGGCTGAGGCAGGAGAATCGCTTGAACCGGGGAGGCAGAGGTTGCAGTGAGCCAAGATCGCGCTACTGCACTCCAGCCTGAGCGACAGAGCGAGACTCCGTCAAAACAAACAAACAAACAAACCAAAAAAACACGGAGCGGAAGAAGGCAGAGGTATTGATGGGACAACCAGAGCTCCCAGGAGGCTTGCTGTAGAGGCAGTGGCCAGATCCTGAGAAATTAGATTTTTTAAAATTATGTAGCAGAATGGGGAGAGAGAAACGGAGAAGCACATGAAAGAGAAAAAAAGCACGATAATTTGCAGACATCAAAGAATAAAGCATAGGAAATAGTATGAGTGTTTTTACATTTAAAAAATATAATAAGTACAATGGTTGTCAGCAGGCCTTGTGGTCGTGTAGTGGTTAATACTTGTAGTTGTGGTTCCCACAACCTGGGTTCTAATCTGAGTCACAGCAGTGTTTTCTATCCTGTGATTGTGGCTAATAGACCTGTCCTTTCCTTCGCCTTTAATCCTAGCAGCCTCCAGAGAGCAGAGTAAACCGCTGGCCTGGAAGGGCGCCAGCTTCTGAAGTTTAGCCCACAGTGCATAAACTAGGGGGTGGCCTGGCCAAAAGGAAAGCTTGGATATGCCGTTTGTCTCACAATTGAGCAGAAAAAATTCTCATAGGTGAAGATGCCGCCTCTTAAGGGTCTTTTGTCTGTAGCTTTCACTGATGAAATAATGCGATTATAGTCTTTTCTGGTAGAGAAAACGGCTGTATCAGTGGAATTTTTTTAAAACACAAAATGAGAATGGGCATTTAATGAGTTTACAATAAAATCTAAACTATTTGTCATGGTCTACACCAGCTTGCCTCCATTCCCCATCAGCTGATTTTTATGAGAACAGTAAATTATTTCTATTATTATGATTTTTGAGATGTAGTCTTGTTCTATCACCCAGGTTTGAGTGCCATGGCTCAATCTCGGCTCTCTGCAACCTCCGTCTCCCAGGTTCAAGCAATGAGAACAGTAAATAAACTACAGTTCACATAAAGTGGACAAATCTTTAGTGCAATTCGTTTAATTTTGATAAATGTAATCACCACCCAGCTCAAGTTATAGAAAATTGCTATCATTTGATAAAGGCCTGTTAGAGCCCCTTTTCAGGCAATTCCCACCCTGCGTCCTCTTAATCACTATTCTGATGTCTATTCCCATAGGTTACAATTGCCTGTTCTTAAAGTTCACATGAGTGAATGTACATACCTTTTGTAGAAAGGTCTTGTGAGATGACTCCAGGAGCAAAGAGCGACCCTCACAAGGCCCAAGTCCTTCCAGAGCACAGAGAAATTCTATCCTCAGACCGAAGAAGGGAGAGAAAGCACGTTTTCATGTCTCCCTGGTGGTCTAGTGGCTAGGATTCGGCGCTTTCACCGCCGCGGCCCGGGTTCGATTCCCGGTCAGGGAACTGTTTTGCACTGGCCGCCCTCCCGCAGGAATCTCTTTACTACGCTGTCAGCCGGCCTGCTCCAAGGGCCAGATGCAGAATAGTCTCCGCAGCGAGGGGCAATCCCGGGCGAAGGAGGGCAGGTCCTGGTGTACCACTTCTCACGTTTATCTCCTTGTCTGTCATCCGCAGAAGCGGCTTTAGGAGAGCGACTGAGCGTCTCGCTCGGGTGTACACAGCCGTGCAGAGGTGCCAGCCCCGTGGAGCTGCACCCAATAAGCCCATCCTCTTTGCCGTCGCCGTCCCGGAGGCGCCTATCGGGCTGAGCTGCAAATAACTAAGAGAGAGGCCAAACCAAGTCATGGCGTTTGTGCGTGCCCTGGACATGGGCACCGGCCAGTCAGCGCAGCCTCCTCACCTCCCTTCGCAGCTAAAGTGCTCGTTAGGCCGTCGGAAGAGGTGACTGGAGGCGATGCCCGCGAAGTTGGGAGTTGGGTGAGCGGTAGGTGAGGTCCTCGAGGGCGGTCCCGTTTGCTGTTTGAGCGGCAGAGGGAGGCCGCGTTCGCTGAGCCAACGAAGACAGCAGGTGGAGTAGGCACAAATGGAAAACTGTTGCCGGTGCCCTAAGCAGAATGCAGGTGTAAAAATCAGCACTAGGACGTCGAAGCGATGGTACCATAGCCAAATCCCACAGTGTCTACACTCTACCAAGCACTTAACGCACACTCCCGATTTTCCATTCAGTACCCTAAGAAGGGTTCAGAAGAACCCCGCGTCCACCTTAAGCTCAGGGGAGAGCGGGAGCCAGGGAGGTGAAGTGCACAGACTGGGGCAGAGGCGGCGGGCAGAACCGCGGGGGTGGGAGTGCGCGGTGGTTGCAGGGCGGGAGCCGCTGCTGAAAGGCGGCCTGGGTTGTGGTGTGGGGTGACTGTCGGTGGAATCTTTGGCAGAGAGTGGTTTGGAAGAATGGCGAGGGGCGGCAGTGGGGAGGGTGACCCTGAGCATTCGGCCAGGGCGAGGAGGCTGTGCTGTCCCTGCAGGGCATGCCCTCAATCCCACTTACCTGGCAGGGTAGAGACCGCGGTCACGAAGGGGGTTCTCCCAGAATGAAGGTTCTTCATGGCACTCTGGAGTTGTTGATCCCTGTGATTTCCTCAATGTGGGAAACTGTTTGTACTAGAAGAGGGCTGCGCTCTTTACTTAGCATAATGGAGTTCAAGACTGACATCGCCTCACGCCCACCCGAAAACATTTACGTGGCTTCCTTGTCACTTTTTTTCTGTCCTAAAGTCGCCTTATCCTCACACCCCCTCATTTTTTTCTTCCGCACTCAAGAGTGTCTCTCTCTCTCATTAAAAGCTCCACCAAATATTTGAAGTATCTCAACCAGAAAGACTCCAATAAATACATTATTTCATTCGTGGAAGCTACAGACCAGCTAGGTTGAGAGTTGCTTGATATTTTCTGCTAAACGGTGAGACATAGAGAACTTGGAAGATTTCTCTTTGGGCCGTTGTTTGTGTACTATTATTGGGTTTCCTTCTTTTCCCCAGACAGTATGGCGCTGTGGGGCCAGCGGTAAACCCTGCTTTCTGGCTTTCTGGCTGCAGATAAAGGCCACACCTGGTGCAGGAATTAAAGCAAACCAAAAGACACACGGGTTCGCCCCAGTGGGTCCAAGATAGAGTCTGACTGTACCAGGATTCAGATTAGAACAGAGGTTGCTGCAGGCACAAGGCAGGGTACTAACCACTATAGAATCCCAATGCGCCCCACACCTACTGCCCGTCGTTTTCCTTCCCCACCCCTCTTTTATTTATTTGTGTATTTTTTTGAGAGACAGAATTTTGCTTTGTCGCCCAGGCTGGAGGGCACTGGCGCGATCTCGGCTCACTGCTACCTCCGCCTCTCAGGTTCAAGCGATTCTCCTGCCTCAGCCTCCCGAGTAGCTGGGACTACAAGCGTGCGCACCACTCCCAGCTAACTTTTGTATTTTTAGTAGAGACGGACTTTCACCATGTTGGCCCGGCTGGTCTCAAACTCCTGACTTCAAGTGAGTGATCCGCCCACCTCGGCCTCCCAAAGTGTTGGGATTACAGGCTTGAGCCACCGCGCCCTGTCCCCCGATTTTTTTTTTTTAATGTAAAAACATTTATGCGATTTTTACTTCTTTATTCCTGGGCAGCTACAGGTTCTTGTGATTTTCTCTCACGTCTTCTCCTCTCCATTCTGATACATGTGCCATCTTCTCTGCATCCAGCCGGCGCCCTCTGCACGGGCAGTCTGGGCTGTCCCATTGTCTCGTCCTGGTCTCCCCTGCTTCTCCCTCCTCCTTTTCACGTTTTCCTTTTTGACTCGCCTGCCTCTTTCCAGCTTCCGCCCCACCCACTCCGTCTACTGAAGCCGAGTTGAGTGAGGGGAGAAGCGGAGCAGAGGATTGCCTGAAGGCGGCGCAAAAAACCAGAAAGAGCTACCAGGAGAGCCGTCGGGTCGGTCAGCTTTCCTTGGGCCTTACTAGGCTCAGGTTGGGGTCGCAGATCCAGGCATTTCCAGAGGCACTGGCTTCTGAAGCAGGAGAGGGTCAACGCAGGGTGAAGGCCATTCGACCGCCCTCTGGTTTCGGAGTCACGCAATGCACACGTTTCCAACGTGCAGCAACACGATTAGTCGACTCGGCCTCAGCCTCTCCGGTTTTCCGAAGCTTTGTAGTCTGCACACTTTTCCTGCAGACAGCGAATGGCCACCCCTAGAGTTTAGTGATTGCTTAATTTATGTTGAGACGAAGACGACCAAGCGAGATTGTCTCTGTGGTGCAATCGGTTAGCGCGTTCGGCCGTTAACCGGGAAGTTGGTGGTTCGAGCTCACCCAGGGATGTGCTTTTAAACGTTGGTAGTTGTGGTCAGGCGCGGTGGCTTCCGTAGATTAATCCCAACACTTTCAGAGGCCTACGTAGGGGGAAGCCTCACCTGAGGTCAGAAGTTCAAGACCAGTGAGAATCCCCTCTCATTTAAAAGATGAAAAAAGTTGCAGGCCTATGACCCTATTTGAAAGTGAGAGACTGTTCCCTTGTGTCTTGTGCATCCCATGAGGACACAAAGCAGAAGGTCCCCCTCCAAGCCTCCTGGAAAAAAAGATCCCTCCAGAACAAACTAGGTTGTATGTATGGGAACCTGAAAGTATATGAAGAAAGAAACTTCAAAAATTCTGCCTTGCTTTCCACAAAAATTAACCCATCATAGTCTGCCTTCAAGTGGTGTCGTACCTCTTCACATTACTCCTCTCTGCCTTTATGCTATTGTCATGCATTTTACTTTACACGTGTTATAAACCTTACAATCCATCTTTATTACTTTTGTTTAAAGAGTCTGATGTGTTTTCATTTGTTTGTTTTTGTTGTTTTTAAGACTAGTCTCGCTCTATCGGACAGGCTGGAGTGCAGTGGCACAATCTTGGCACACTGCAACCTCTGCTTCCTGGGTTCAAGCAATTCTTCCGACTCAGTCTCCTAATTAGCAGAGATTACAGGCGTGAGCCACCACACCCGACTAATTTTTGCATTTTTAGTAGAGAGGGGGGTTCACCATATTGGCCAAGCTGGTCTCAAACTCCTGACCTCAAGTGATCCGCCTGCCTCGACCTCCCGAAGTGCTGGGATTACAGGCATGAGCCGCCATGCCTGGCTAAAAGTCAGATGTTAAAATTATGTATTTGCCTATGTAGATGTCATTTCTAGTGGTGTTTCTTTTTTTTCTTTTCCATCCTGATTTTCATCCGATGTCAGTTTCATTCTGCCTGGAGGACTCATTTAACTTTTTGTTTTCTTTTATTTCTTTTTGTAGTGTAGGCTCACGGTAGTGAATTTTCAGCTTTTGTAGAATTTCACATTGACTTTTTCCCCTCAGTGCTTTTAAGATGTTGTTCCACTGCTTTCTCACTTGAATCCTAGCCACTAGATCACCAGGGAAGTGCCAGCAAGCGTTTTTCATTCCTGTTGCCTTCCGAAGGTTTCTCCAAAAGGTGAACCTGCCCGCAGTGCTCACGAAGGCTGCCAGATGCACAAGTCAAAACTGATCTAGACGCTCTGAAGTCCGCAGTACTCCCTGAGGAGTGCGGAGCCACTGGAATCGCAAGCAGCTTCAGACAGGAGCCAATGAGGCCATCAAAACCCTCAACAGAGGCATCTGTGAGTTCACTGTGGTGGCTGCAGACACCACGTTGCTAGAGAACATTCTGCACCTCCCACTGCTGTGTGAAGACGAGAATGTGCTGGGTCTGCCTGGAATGTTTGTGTACTCCAGGCAGGCCCTGGGGCGGGCCTGTGGGGTCTCCAGTCCTGTCATCACCTGTTCTGTCACCATCAAAGAAGGCTGATTCAGTCCATTCAGCACTCCATTGAAAGGCTCCTAGTCTAAACCTGTGGCGTCTAAACCTGTGGCCTCTGCTGCACAATCTCTGCTGACTCCTCCCCCTGAGGTTATTTTCAGCTACTTTCTATTGTTATAAAATATTATAGTACTAAGTCTGGTTTCTGGGGTTTTGTACAGTTTTTGTTCTGTTTTACAGGGTTGTTTTCCCCCTTCTCCCTGCCCACCCTCTCTCTGCCATCCTTCTCCTCTTATCCTCTCTACTGAAAAATGAAGAAATGTTCAGAACAGAAGAAGTACAGTGGTGGCACCATCAAAGGCAGGAAGGGCCAGGAGACCCTGATGGGAGCAGGGATACGGACCTGGTTCTAGCTTCCAGTCACTAACTTTCAACTGTGTGCAGGGCACAATGGAAGTAAACACCACCCACTATATACCCCTGTGCCTGGCATACAGAATCATTCATATGTTAAAATGATCGAGGGGTTTCCTTTGCTTCTAGGGGACTATGGATCATATTGGGAGGAAGCATGTCTTCTGTGAGGTTGTTTCGTTTATGTCCAAGTGTCATTTACTAATGTCACCCTGTTGTTTGCTTTTGTAAGATGTTGTATGTTCTTCCTCCACCTGACAATTGTGCCCCTGATGGCGGCCGGGCAGCAGCATACCAAACAGATGTGATGCAGGATTTCAGAGGCGGGTGAGTGAGACATGGGTCAGTGGACTTAGGTCTTGAAAGAGTCCGGAGTGGCAAGGGCAAAGAACATGAACTGGTGCTGGAATGAAGGATTCTGGGAAGATTGTGGAGACCTGGCTGGTAGCTACAGCAGAGATGATGGAATCCAAGGAAACATATTCTCTCTGGTGAATTGAGATTTCTTCAGTGGACACTTAGTCCCAGCTCTGATAGCCCTTACCCCTGTTTCCTGCCACAGTGTGGGTCACGTGTATTCTTTTATCACATGAGGGGAGTGCTGATTCATGTGTCATTTATTTTGTGAGCATCCTAATAAATATATTCATATTCCAATTTAATGAAAAAAAACTGATCTAGAGATGCCCCATTTCGAGGTGACAGCATGGCTGTGGAGAGATGGCCACAGGAGCCAGCACAGTGGACCAGGTTGCTGGGAGAAGGCAAAAGGGGAGGCACCCAAGCTGGGAAGGGGCTAAGCGCTCAGCCCCTGGGACCACCAACAGCAGGCCTGAGAGACATGCAGGAAACCAGACAGCCTGGATGAAATTTCTTTCAAGTATGGCCCGTGGTCCCTGACAGAACACCACAGGTTTCCCCTAAAACCTTTCGCATCTGCACTGTTTCCATCTTAGTTGGAACTCTTTGTTCTCATCCTTGCAATACACAGAGAAAAAAAAATCATAGACTTTGTTTTAAGATAGGGTCTTGCTCTGTCACCCAGGCTGGAGTACATAGCGTGATCATGGCTCACTGCTGCCTCAAACACCCGGGCTCAGGTGATTCTCCCACCTCAGCCTCTGGACTGGCTAGGACCACAGGGGCACCACCACAGAGACAGGGTTTTGCCATTTTGCCCAGAATGGTCTCAAACTCCTGAGCTCAAGGGATCAGCCTGCCTAGGCTTCCCAAAGTGCTGGGACTACAGCATATGCCACCTTGCCCAGCCAACCAGAGTTCTTTTTGATTCCGATATTTTGCTCAGACTCCACATCAAGGTAGGAATTCGTGTTTTCAAGTAGAGACGTTGCTCTACACAATCCTCTCCTTTCTGATCACTGAATTAGAGCAAATGACTGTCCTGAAGAAGGTACCCTTGGGAGAGTGGGTTGGCCTGTCTTTCCACCCTTTCTTGGCTCTGCCCTCACCTTCAAGCCTCTTGCTGGCCTCTGCTCAAGGTCCAGAGACATGCTAAGACCTCTCTGTGTGGCTCCTCTGGAAGAGTCAGGAACCCCACACTTCCTGTTCAGTCCGCAGAGAAGCTTCAAGCCGCACACTTTTGGGTATGACAGGATCCCACAAGGCACAGATGTGCAGTGGCCCACGAAGTGAGTTTGTGGGTCTCCAGATACCTGCAGCCCTTTCTGCTCCTGTAGGGTAAAGGGCAATTGCCTTTTTTTTCTGTCCAGGAAGGACCCCAAAATGTTCTGAGTCAGAAAGACAGTGAATCCTCTCCTGTGGGTTAGTGGGGAGGGAGAGAGAGAGATTTCAGAGGGAAGAAAGAAGAAAAAGATGTCACAAAATTGCCTAATCAAAAGTTCCCATGATGCCTGCCTCATCTGGAACTGGGCTCCCAGTCTCTAGTGAGGGAGACATAGTCCAGTCCAGTCCCAGTCTCCAGTCTGAACCAAAGCAGAACAAAGCTGGACACTGCAGCCTGGCATCCAGCGAACATTCAGTCACTTTCCCCAGCGTGGGAGCATTCGAACTTTGGATGTGATGTGAAGGAAACATGGTAACCACTGCAGTAAGAAAAGCAACTGCTGGAGAAAATGGCACTTTCTTCCCCAAATTTGTTTCTACACTCATGTCTAAAGAACACCTTAGGAACAACATTAACATCTTTCAGCAAAAGGAAATTCTGCCTGTTGACCTTTTGCTGTGAGACAAACTTGAAAACTTCACGGACACTGCCTTTCTCTGAAAACTGCCCTTACCTCTTTGTTACAATTCACTTCAAGACCTGTTGAGCAGGAATATTAAAAAGGCAAATAAAATGTTTCAAGTGTTATGAAAGAATGCAATAAAACTGCCCTTAAAAAAAAAAAAATCTCAGGATGGAGGTGGAGATCCTGTGATCATGAAATCTGAATAGGCTGCTCCTGTGTCCTTCACTGGTGATGGCTCTGAAACCCTTGTGTTCTATAAAACTTGTGGCCTGCTCTTCCAACCAATTCAATGCAGGCCAAGGAGCACAGTTTGGCCTGGGCTGGATGTTCTATATTTTCAAACAGTCAAATGCCTTGAGACACAGGCTTTGCTACAGTACCTGCTAAAACTTCAACGTGTAAATAAATATAGCTTAAATGGAGTCACATAGACTAAGCGAGAGTGGCGGTGAAGGATGCCTTTTGGAAGATTCAAGGTGTTGAGGCCAAAGGGCTGGAAAGGAAAGAACGTGTGGGTCAGGCCCCTCGGCCTGAGGGAAGGGCAAGCAGGGAGGGTCCTATGGTTCCTGGCAGGACCTGAAGCATAATCTCCTGTCAAGAGCCAAGAGCCCTGATGGCCAGCACCAGGGAAAAGGCCCCCGAGGCGCAGTCAGCAGCCCTGCAGGGGCGGGTCCACACTCCTGTGTGGCACAGAGTACTCAGGGCTCCAACGCTCAAAACCCACCAGCTCCTGAAGCTTCTGGGAGCCAGAGATTGTCAGCTGGGAAATTTCCCAAACATGGGCA